TTATATCTTTGTTTATGAATGATACTGAAACTTTCTCAGCCTTATGTTGTCTTTTGACATTTGTATCCTGCTCATTTCTTTGCAATCATATTTCACTTCCTTCATTTTTATTCCCTATTTTTTAACCTTCCCCTTATTATTATTATTATCTCCCTTTAATCCATGCAATCTTCAAAGTGTGGAATTCAGCCTGTCATTCTTTAAAGCTGGGTTTGATCTTTTCACAGGATCTGTCTGTACAGTTTTACATTCTCTCTCTCTCTCTCTCTCTCTCTCTCTCTCTCTCTCTCTCTCTCTCTTACACACTCTTATACATTCACTCACCCAATTTCTTTACAAACACCTCTCTCTTTAACTCTATTTTCCTATTTTTACTCTCACATTCAAAAATAAAGGAACTCAAATTGAAATGTGAATGTGCACACACACACACACATTCAATGAAACATGTTTGAAAGAAAGGCTGCTGCACAAATAATATATATATATATATAATCAAATGTGAGATTACGGGGTATTCTTATAAAAGTCAGCACAAACAAGCATTTTTTTTAGAGGGCGTTTCAGAGTCTGATCAGCTCTGAAAGGGTCGATTTGGTGAGGTCAGTATGATGTTTGAAAGACCCGAAACTGTCCAATGATCCTTTTCTAGAACATCACTGACGACGCCCTCTAGCGCTAAAGGAGCGTATATTCAAAAAAAGTATATATATATATATATATATATATTTTGAACAATAAAAAAAAATATTAAAAAATTAAAATCTTCAGACACACTGGGTTGTAGATTAATATTCTTTCGTTTTTTTTTTATTATTATTTCATTTAGATTCCTCAACTAGTTTCGGCGAAAATGGCCATCATTAGGAGAAGAAATATTTCTGCTTGCTGGTAGCAGTAATAAAAAGAAAAAAGATAATGGCAAAACTGCAATTTTGGGGGAATCCTGCATTTCTTAAAAAAAAAAAACATTAAAATGAGATATTTTTGTGTTTCTTTAAAGGAAGAGATAAATTTTAGTACCTACAGTTTATTTTATTTTATTTTTCAGTTTTTCTCCAGGGTCATCTTATAACCAAAAAATTCAAATTTAGATGCTGGTTTTATTGGTAAAAACAAAATATGATGCTATTGTGTGATAAAGTGCTTATTTAAAAAAAAAAAAAAAAAAAAACACTATAATTACTGAAATTTCATATTTTAATCCATTTTTTTTTTTTGCCTGTAGGGAATAATGGCTTTATTTTTAATCTGACATTTTTATTACTTCAAATGTTATTATAGTGGATACTCCATATTTGAAATAGACACCTGCTTGAACTACTATTGAACTCACAGCTCTTTGGGTCACATCACTGGCTCTAACCAACGCCTTTATCCACTGTGCCATGTGTCCTTAAGGACATCTGTGTATCAATGTCTGAGACTTATAAACTTAATGTCTTCAGCAATCATTTTTTACCAGTGCTCATATTGCAATTTTTTGTTGTTATCATTGAATATTTTTACCAGAGCTCATATTGCAATTTTTGTTATTATTGCTTTTATCTGGCACTCCTTATTACTGGTTCCCATATTATATTCATTTCTATACTTGGTTGGCTCAGGAGATTTTTGTGGCTTAACATATGCGCTGATTCCTTAAGTTTATGTATTTTCCAATGATGTTCTTTGTCTATGATTTCAACCTGATCCCACAGAGGGCGGTGATTTCTCTTTTCTCTTTATATGTAGTTAGCCACGCCTTGTGTTACAGCTTTTTGGTGCTCTTCAAGCCTTACCTTATGGGGATGGCCTGTTTTCCCTTTATGTTTCTTTCCACAGCTGCATGGGATGGCATACACACAGTCTTTAGTCATGTTCTCCTCTGTGTGTGTGTGGGGGGGGGTCTTACTTAGGAGACGTATCTGCAAAGTGTTGTCCAACTTTTAAAGATTGTACTGATGTTATGTGGATCACATATCCTTTATATTTTCTCTGATAACCCCTTCACATAAGGCAGGCAGACTGTTTTCTGAGTGTTGTTGTTCTCCTTATGTACACACCTATCCCAGTTTTTTGGGGGCTGCTGCCATGTACCCAGGGTAGTTGTTACATTGTAGGGTACTACTTATACTGACCAATTCTTAATCGAATGTCACTGGGTTGCCACTTATGACTTTTGCTTGGTGTTGTAAACAGCAGACAATTCCTTTCTTTATGCTGTATGAATGGTGGGGTTTGAAATTGAGGTACTGTCTGATGAATGTCAGTTTGTGGCATATGGATGTCTTGAACCCATGCTCTGTTCGAGATATTAGATCATCCAGGAGTGGGAGTGTGTTGTTACTGTCTTTCTCCATTGTGAACTATATCAAAGATCTTATTGAGTTTACATGGTTCAGTAGAACCTAGACATCTTCCTGTAATAAGGAGTGCCAGAGAAATGCAATAATAACAATGAAAATTGCAATATGAGCTCATGGCAAATGGAACTCGAACAGTCTACCCCAGCAAGTGAAATAAAGGGTTCATTTTGACATTCTAACCACTTGAAGAAAGCCGGAGCATACAATGGCTGAAACTTTGCAATAAATATTGCAACAAAGATTAGTATAATAGTCCAAATAATGTAAAAAGCAGATACTAGTTACCTGTTCAGCAACAAATACCCTCTGGTAAGTCATGCTACACATTCTATGCAGGGGAGGACAATGTTTTTATTATCTTTTGTAATAAAATAAATATTGTTATTATTTTAACTTTTATCTAATACTTTTTCTTAACCATTCAGACTAAAAATGGCTATACCAATGTATGATATACTCAAACTACATTATAGACTTCTGGTTGAAAAACTGATGAAGGTTTTATAATATCAAAAATTTCACGTTAACATATCTAATAATAAATTATTCAGGTATAAAGTATATTGTGTTATCTGTAGTTATATTTCTACAATATTTATTTTGGATTTATTTATGAATAAAAATTTATATAGCCTTTGTTTGCTTAAATGTAAAATCCACAAAAGAGGTTATTATGACTATCTTTATTATGGATTGATATTATAAACTGAAAGTCATGTTATACTTCTCATATAATTATATCATATGTAAATTTTACCAACATTGACTATTATGGGAGAATATGAGATATACCAGGTTGAGTTAAAAGTTTTCTGGATTTTCACTGATGATTTTTGGCAACTCGCATCTTCATGTTATATCATTAATTTGATAAATCTTGTCCAATCATTGATGAATTCTTTATTTTCAAATATAGTGTTTAAACATTGTTTATTTTTTATTTTACAGCTTTGATAATGAGTGGTGAAAAAAAATTGCAATTAGAGCCATTTTACGCTCTCTGTAAAAAAATGGACAGAATGCAAGAGCAGCAGGAAAAGATATTAATGTTGTTGAAGGCACAGGAACTGTCAAAGAACATGTGGCACAAAGCTGATTTTGCTTGAAATGGTTGAACAACAGACATGCAACAAGCACTAAACACATAGTCGGCAGTATTTGGTCCTTTACAAAGCACCATCAATCAACAGCACTATAAGCCCGAGCTTGTGAACAGATGTTGATGAGAAGTTCCTCATGAACTGATGAATGACCATGCTAAATGATGTGTGAACATTTACAAAGAACTATTGGCAAATCCTCAAGATGCCTGTTTTTGGCATCAAATTGTAACTTGGGATGAAAAATGGATCTATTTTTGTAATCCTAATAAGAAAAATCATTGGCTTCATTCCAGTCAGGCTTCAGAACCTGTTGTCAAACATAAGTGGTTTGAACAGAAGGTCATATTTTGTGTCTGGTGGAATTTTAAATGGGTGTTGCACTTTGAGCTTGTCCCACATGTCCATGTAGTGAATGCTGACTATGTTCAACAACTGCAGTGAGTATATGATGCTTTGAAAGCCTGCTACTCAGCATTGCTCAATCCAAGATGTGCACTCTTACAGTATGACAATACTCCAGCACACACTGTCAATGTGACCAAGCACAAACTTGAACTGGAGGGGCTGGAAAGGATGCCTTAACCTACCTACAGTCCAGACCTTGCACTATCAGATTATCATCTTTTCTGAACTATGGCTCATTTCCTGAGCAGACAGCAAACCAGCAATGTGGATAAAGGTGAAAATGGGTGCAGGAAGTTTTTTGTCTCTAAACCAGCCAAATGGTGTAAGTGCTAAATTGAGTTTCTGGCACCACAATGGTAGCAGACGATAGAATATTATGGGATATATTTTGATAGATAAACACTTTTTGTACGTAGTTTGTATGAACTATTAATTAAAGCTTGAATTATGAAAAATCTTTTACCTAACCTAGTAAATTACAATATATCAGAACAATGTTATGCAAATGAATGATAAAGGGGAAAGAAAAAATTGCTGTGTAACTATCTTCGTCTTCTAGAAAGACTTCATTGAACTAAATTAATGATTTTGTTGATAGAATTATATATATATATATATATATATATAAGAAGGAGGGATATATAAAAACACTAGTGTTGGTTGTAGCTATGTTGGAATGCTGAACTATTTTAAATTTAACTATCTACATATTTAGTCTAGTCAATTTCATTCAATTTTTTAAGCTTTTGTTTTTATCATTTTTATTATTATATATCCCACACTGTAATAACAGAAGATCTGCCGAGAAAAATGAAATGTTATAAGAACCTGGATACAAATGTACTATGGATGATTTAGAAATCAAAGCACTTTCTAGACATTTTTGCTTTAATATCAAATTTATGGTGAAAACATTGATCTGCATAATAAAATCTGGTATGTCGTTACTTGTATTTATAATAAATCTGAAAGAGAAAATGTCTTTGTATGAGAGAGTGAGTGTGTGCATGTTGGTCTCTTCATCTATCAACAGAAATTATTTTTTGGGGGGGATATAAAATACTTGTTTTTTATACTTATAAATTTTCTTTTACTTGTGTAAGCTTTTTTTTTCATTTTTTTCTCTCTTTATCTTACAACTTTTATGTCTACCCAATTTTTTCTCTCTTTTTATTATTCTTTTTCTTTCTTTATTGTCTCCACCCCTCATTTTTCTTTCTTATGCCCTCTCTTTTATCACTACTTATGTTTTGCTTATGGCCACATCACATAGAAACAACAGTTCCATTATGATTACCAAAGTTAAGCAACGTCAATACCTAGATGGGTGACCACTTGTGGATACCAGGTGCTGTAAGCTTGGATGTGCAGGTGGTGTAATGGATACTGGTTTGGAATTTCTAATTGGAGAACTGAGTTCCAATTCCAGCTGGGTTTGTTATATTCACATATGTGCAAATATCCTTGGGGAAAAGTATGAATTGACAACTTCTCCCCCTAGCTATAGATTAATTACTAAGACTTGTATCGCTTAATCATTATCTCCCAAAAAAACTCTTACAATGTAAAAGATATTTTCTAATTTTACTTACCCTGCAAAGGGTTCATAAGCTATAGAAAATGAATCAACCAATCAATTTTTTTATCTTTTATTTTCTCAAATCTGATCCTTCTATTCTACCTCAGCTCAATGTATTTTCTGTTTTCTTTCAGATTATATAAAAACTTCCTCCCTTTATCATTCATTATTTTTTTATACCTCTCCCTATTCCTCACTATTTTATTTATTCTTTTTCTCAACCTCCTCCTATCATTAATTCTTTCACTCTTTCTTTCTCTCCTATACCTTCATTTTTCTCTCATTTTAAGTTTCTCCTTTTCTCATCAGTCTCTCTTCCCTATTTCCTAACCCACTCTTTCTGTACATCTATCTTTTTATTTATCACCTTGCATTTTTATCTCTCTTTTTTTTTCTGCTTCCATACAATGGTTATACCTTTTTGTATTATCACTTTCATATTTTCAATATAAAATCTATTCTGAGTAATTGTTCTCAACGATAATAATCTGTTGGAAAAATAGGATTTTCTGGTATATGGATGCATGTAAATATGTTTTCATAAAAATCTATAGCTTATTTTTAAATTCCTTTGTTTCTACTCGTAGAATATTCAAGAGTTTTCTTGATATGCCAGTGTATATATAAAGGGGAGACAAGTATAGTAGCAAGTGAAGATAATTACAAAGGGTTATCATAGTAATTTTCAGCTTTCAGTTGACGGCCATTTTGAGAAAAATCCATATCTTGAGATTTTCATGTACTTCTTCCAATAAATGACATGTCATTTCAAAAATAGGAAGGCATGTATTTTAACCATATTTCTGCCTTGTACTCATTACCACCAGGGAAAAAATTTAACAATTTAGCACTTTTTAGAGTTTATTTTTATACATTTAAGGAATTCTATTTGAGTACAATACTACCACATTTAGAAAAGCAATATTTTGGATATTTAAAAGATTAAAATTTAATGGAAATGCTGTCAAATACTGACTGCTCAAAATCAGGATATTGTTTTTTTGTCATTTTTTTTTTTTTACCTCAAATAAAAAATAAAAAAAAATAAAATGTGAAATACTTGATAGAGTGATAGTAACAAAATTATTTTGGGTGAAAAAGTTAAAACTATTTTTTTTTTTTTAAAGTTTTTCTCTCAAAGCAAGGCAGGAGTGCCACAAGGACATGGGGGTTAGAGAGAGCAGGAGCAAGAGTAAAGAGGAAAAGATGAAGGATGAAGAGAAAGATGGGGAATAGACACTATTTACATTATTCGAACTATTGCCCTCATTTTTGTCACCATATTTATTACGTTTCAGCCGCTCCGGCCTTCCTCAAGTGGTTGGAACGTAGAACTGAACCCTTTATTTTGCCATGTCTGATGGATATCAGTTATCTCCTATTGATTCCCCTCTGCCTTAACCAGGTATTGAACTCACACTATTTGGGTCCTGTTACTGGATCTAACTAACACCTTTATCCACTGTGACATGTGTCCTTAAGGACATCTATGTATGAATTTCTGCGTATTATAAACCTAATGTCTTCAGAACCCATTTTACCAGTGCTCATATTGCAAATCTTGCTGTTACCAAATCATCTTTTTACCAGAGCTCATCTTGCAATTTTTGTTGTTATTATCGCTTTTTCTCTGACACTCCGTATTACTGGTTATTATTGTATTTATTTCTATGCTTGGTTGGCTCAGGAGATTTTTGTGGCCTAGCACATGTGCTGATTCCTTAAGCTTACATATTTTCCAATGATGCTTTTTGTCTATGATCTCAACCTGATCCCACAGAGGATGGTGATCTGCCTTTTCTCTCCATATGTGGTCAGCCATGCCTGATTTTTCCACTTCCCTTCATGTTACAGATTTCTGGTGTTCTTGAAGCTTTACCTTAAGGGAGGGGGGGGCTGCCTCCCCTTTATATTTCTTTCTGCAGCTGTACAGGATAGCGTACACACAGTCTTTAGTCATGTTCTCCTCTTACTTGGGAGAGATATCTGCGAAGTGTCGTCCAGCTTTTAAAGATTGTCCTGATGTTATATGGACTGCATATCCTTTGTATTTTCTCTGATAACCCCTTTACATAAGGCAGGCAGACAGTTTTCTGAGTGTTGTTGTACTCATCTTGTACCTGCCTATCCCAGTTTTTTGGGGCTGCTGCCATGTACCCAGGGTAGTTGCTATGTTGTAGGGTACTATTTATACTGACCAATTCTTAATCTAAAGTCTCTGGGTTGCCACTTATGACACTTTGCTCAGTGTTGTAAGCAGTGGATGATCCCTTTCTTTATGCTGTATGGATGGTGGGAGTGGAAATTGAAGCACTGTCTGGTGAATGTCGGGTTACAGTATATGGATGTCTTGAACCCATGCTCTGTTTGAGATATTAGAACATCCAGGAATGGGAGTGTGTTGTTACTCTCTTTCTCCATCATAAATTGTATCGAAGGTCTTATTTAGTTCACATGGTTCAGTAGAACCTGAACCTCTTCCTGGTGTGACCAGAGTATGAAGGTGTCATCTACGTACCTTAACCATATAGTTGGCTTTAGAGATATAGATTCTAATGCCATTTCCTCAAAGTATTCCATGTATATATTCGCCATTTCTGGTGATAATGGCGAGCCCATTGCTAAGCCCTTATCCTGTCGATATATTTATGATCCCATTCCGAAGTGTGTTGTTTGTATACAGAAAGTCAACATTTTCTTCAGATTATCTATTTGAATACTGGTCCGTTCTACTAGGGATGAGTCAGAGGCCAATCTGTCTCTGATTTCTGATAGTGCCTCCTCTGTGGGTACCTTGGTGAACAAACTCACCACATCCAAGTTCACCATCTGATTGGATAGGATGGGAGCATATTTGATTATTTCCATGAAGTGGGTGGAGTTTCGGACATATGAAGGAGACTTTCCGATCAATGGGTCAATTATATCTACAAGGAAGTGACTCAGAGGGTGGCACACAGAGCCCTGGCAACTAACAATCGGCCTGAGAGGAATACTGTCTTTGTGAATCTTAGGGAGACTATATATGTAAGGTAGCTTGGTGTAACACTGCAATAACTGCCTATACATCTTAGGTGCAAAGTGATCCTTGTTCTTGATTAGTATCTGTGACAGTTTGCACTCTATTCTCATAGTAGGATCCTTTTTTACTTTGCTGTAGCTACCACTGCTAATGAGGTCTTCCAGCTTTCTTGTATAATCTGATTTGTCCATCACTACAGTTGCATTGCTTTTGTCAGCTGGTAGGTAGTATGATGTTTTCGTTCCTCTATAGGGATCTGATCACCAGACTCTCTAGTTTCATGATGTTTGACCTAGGCAGCTTGGCTTTCTCCAAGGTCTGTCTCACTTTACATCTTAGTTCATCTGCCTGAGCCTGAGGGAAGTTCAAGGCTACATCCTCGACTCTGCCAATGATGTCCAAGTATGGCAATTGCCTGATGGTTGTGGCGAAGTTGAGACCCTTATTCCATACTGACTTATCAGAGGCACTCAGCTGATATTGGCTGATGTTGACTACTGCTTTCACTGGTGGGATATGGACCGTGTGTGTCAACTTCTGATCTTTCGATTTGTACTTGGCGAGTCTTGACTACATCAAATTAATGTCCGAGACCAAGCAGGTGCAGAGAGGCGTTGTCGTGGAATTGAGCATCAGATATTCTAATGGGAGGCAGAGAGGGTTCTCTGTGGTGGGTAAAAGAGAAACAAAAACCTGAAAACACTTTTAGAGTTACTGATTTTACAAGAATAATTTAACTAGTAGTTAATTTGATGGGAAAGTGTTTTGGTATTTCTGAAGGTTTAGATTTGCCTAAATTCATAGGATTAATAAATAACATAGTTTAATCAAAAGGCAGATAAATTTTCTTTTAGGGTCAATTCCCATTTTGCACAGTGGGGTAGACTAAGTTCCATCACTATATATGTTACTAATGCTGTGATGACATGGCATCACTGAAGTCAGTGTCCAAGGCAGAGAGTTTCCACAAAGTTTGTCTTCAAGTTGGAGGACATTGGTTGTGGTTGGATCTGGAGAGAAATGACCTCCCTCTGGTTTATTGCCCAAAACACACTATGCATGAATGAACACCTCTCTAGCTTTGAATCCATTGGAGGGAATTGGTCAGGTGTTTGTCTTCACAGTGATCCAATGACTACACCTAGTCATGGGACTGATGGTGATGCTGATGATAATGATGAATACATAGTATAAATTTTGAAGGGGTTGTTGTATTCATCATCACTCCATTAATAATTTAAAACCTATTTTAAGTATTATATTGACTACCTTGGATCAGTATCTGCATCTACTGCAAGGAAAGTTAGGCCACTGTGTCGTCACAGGAAACTTTTCTTATCAGAATCCATCTTGCACATTTTCAAATCCACCATTCATACAAGCATTGAATACTGCTGTCATCTCTGGTCTGGTGCTTCTACTATTCATCTCGAGGTACTTAAAATTCAAAGAAGGATCTGTAATGTAATCAATCCTGACCTGGCATCTTGACTTCAATCACTTTCTTACCTACGTAGTGTGGCTTCCCTCTGTCTTTTCTACAAATATTTTCATGGCAACTGCTCTGACAAGATGTTTTTTTTCCTGTTGCCCTAACTACATGAATTTAAGTGTACTACTAGATTGACATCTAGGTAACACTCATTTACTGTTGTGTTATATCTCGTCGCCAGTCGTTATATCTCGCAAAAAGATATAATAACAAAGTAAACCCGAGTGGTGGTTTAAATAATAATACTTTATATCGGAATGTAGGAATGTCAAAATACAGAGAGAGTAGGAGTAAGCTAACCGCAATGGTGTAGTCAACGAAGACCTTTGTTGTCGCTCTGTTGATCGTCTGTTGATTCTCCTGGACTGTTTACTGTGGTCGAACTTTTATCGGCCACCGGCGTCCATTTATGGTGAATGGGGAAGTCAGGTTATTTCATCACAACACCCTCCCCGAAGCTGAAATTCTTCCTTTTGAAAATTTCTGCTTCTAATATCGTCTTCTTTTTTGGATCCGGACTAAAACGCTCCACTGGTTTTCTTTGCCGTGTGCTCCTTCTTTCAGTCGTCGCAATTTGATCCTTTTTTGGCGAAGAGTTTTTCGAGTTTTTACGTGTCGAACATTAGCAACACTTTTCTCCTCAATTTGAATATTGTCCCTTTTTACGTTTATGAGACGTTGGCATTCTTCGGTTACCCTTTGTAATGTTATATTCGAGTCTTGCTCGACCATTACTAATATTCTCGACCTAATTTCTTTATATTTAGGATCAGTTAGTCCTTGAAGAAAAATTAGGCACTTGAATACATCTTTGGTTATTTCTTCTAACTTGAATTGTTCAACCAGAGAGTTCACTGTTCCCGCATATGTCACAAAATCCTCGTTATCTGCTTTAACGATGTTTAGGCATCTGTATCGCGTGTGGAACAGACTATTCCTTTCGTCAAATATTTTTGACAGAATACTTATAGTTTCTTCAAACGAAACTTCTTCTGGCTTTCTGGGCAGTATCAAGTTTGAGTACTTCCTATTCTCGTTTGTCCCTAGTTTCTGTACTAGTAATGTTACTCGTTCCTCATCCGACCAATGTTGACATCTCTTGGTAAATATAGTTTGAACGTTTAAAGTACGCTGGAAATGTAATGCCCGAATCAGGATCATAAATAAATTCGGATAATGAATTTGTTATTCCTTCAGCAGAAAAAAACAGTATTTTTTCTTTCTCCAGTCGCGTGTTCCAAATCTTTTTCAGACTTTTTGCTGTTGCAATATTTGTTGTTGTAAGTCTTGGTGCTGTTTTTTGTTGCTGTTGTTGTAACTCTTGATACTGTTGTTGTTGCTGTTGTAAGCTTGTACACAGCATTTTTAGTCATTTCAACTAATTGCTCCATCCTTATTTTAGAATTCGAAAAAACACAAAAAAAAAAAAATTTTTTTTTTTTTAGACAGTTAACACTCTCAACAAACAATTTACAGCGTAATATTTTTACAACCCGTAATTTTACTTGAATAATTATTGTTAGACCGGCTCGTTTTTTGAGTCAGCGGTTCAATATATATTTTTCAAATCACAATTTAACAGTAAAAATTCTTACTTTTCAAAAAGTTTCCTTTTGACTTGTGACTCCGCTTTTCAACATCCGTTCAGCGTATATTTTTTTTTTTTTTTTTTTCAAGTAAGTAAGTTGCACAATCCTTCGTCGTCAACTGTTATAGTTAGGCGTCTGAAAAGTTTTTTCCGTGTAAGTTTGAATCCTCGTTCGCCAACTGTTATAGTTAGGCGTCACGAAAAGTTTTTCCGTAAGTTTCGAATCCTCGTTAGCCAACTGTTATATCTAAATATTCCAGTCGTTATATCTCGCAAAAGATATAATAACAAAAGTAAACCCAGTAGTGGTTTAAATAATAATACTTTATATCGGAATGTAGGAATGTCAAAATACAGAGACAGAGTAGGAGTAAGCTAACCGCAATGGTGTAGTCAACGAAGACCTTTGTTGTCGCTCTGTTGATCGTCTGTTGATTCTCCTGGACTGTTTACTGTGGTCGAACTTTATCGGCCACCGGAACGTCCATTTATGGTGAATGGGGAAGTCAGGTTATTTCATCACAACATGTTGAAATAGCTAAATGCAACCACCACTTCTATTCTAACAGTTTCTTTTCTCACACTTCCCATTTGTGGAACTCTCCTGTTTTATTGCTTCCCTGGTAACTACAATCTTCAAAAGTTTAAATGCAAAATCAATCGCCATCTTCTGTCCATCTCTTACACTTTCCTTAATACTCCTTATTCTCAGTCTTTTCTTTCATTTTCATTCCCTGTAACTAGTGGCATCACCACCTTCCTTGGGGGTGAAATGATTAAAAATAATTTATATGCATACTATTTAATCTTTTCGGGTAGATTGTTCTCATCCTCCTCCCAAAGCTGACAGCATCTTGTCTAGTTCTTATTTAATTTCTTGAAATAAGAACTTGATGAGATATCCCTAGATGTGGACAGTGAAATGAAAACAATCTATCCCCATAGAATAAAAATAAAGGTTTCAGCTCAAAATTTCTTGTAAGTTAACCTAGATCAGCATACACCTGACGAAGGTCATAGTGCACAATAGCCGAAACATTGCAATAACAACAACAAAGAGGAGGGCGATAGTAAATAATGTAAATGATGATAACTCCTTAATCCAGAAATTCTGACAAATTATTTCAAATAATCAATCATACTTTGATGTCCTTTGTATAAACACACAACTCTTGAGGCGGGTACTTAACATGTCACATGCATATCATCCAGATAAATTCACTTGTCTCATGAAATCATTTTTTACTTGTGCTCCACTCTTGTAGCCTTGTACGAGACTAAGCTGCAATTAATAAATAATCATGGAATGGTTATTGGGTAGGCAGTAACAGTTATATTTTAAAATACTTTGGAGGTTGTTGGAATAAAAATAATTGTGGATCTGAATGAGGTTATTTGTATAATGCTGTTTGTTAACTTTTTCCTCATTATTTATTTTATCACCTTAAACATTATTTCTAGTTGATAATCATATTTGAATAGATGCACTGTTTCTTTATTACACAGTATACTTCTTTATTTTTGTCTACTGGCCTGAATATTCGAGAACACATATTCTTCTTTAATATGATTTCTCGGATATTCAGGCCAGTAGACAAAAATAAATAAATATACTGTTTAATAAATAAACAGTGCATCTATTCAAATATGATTATCAACTAGAAATAATGTTTAAGGTGATAAAATCTGTCAGATTAATAATTAAAAAATCCATTACTTTAGAAATAGCTTTGTTTACTTTTGGATACAAAACTGAGCAGATATGAAAATCTTTAGAGTGAAGGATTTCGCTTAAAGGTGATATTCAGCCTTGCAGGCAAAGTTCTTTGTAGCTCAGTCGGTTAAAGCACATCAGATCTAATGAAAATTCTCTCTACAAAGGAGGACAAAAATAGATAAATATACTCATTATTTATTATTAATTACTTGGAGTATTTTGTATTTATTCATTAATTATTTATTGTTAATTATTATTTCATTTACTTGTGTTTCTGTGTGCATTCATAGTTTGTAAATTTGTTTATTATTCACTATATTTATTTGTTATTTTTTATTATTATTATTTTTCCTTTAAGGGGTTGGTGATCATATATATTTAGTTTAAGGTATTGGATTTGTCTAAAATATTCTATATTATCTGTGTTGTATATGGTGCATATATTTGCTCAGTCTTTATATTTACATATACTCTATTACCGATATTGAGCACTTTTACCCATAAATTTAGCACACCTTAAAACTATATTTTTATCATATATGTCAACAAAATCCAATGCGGGATTATATAATGTTATTGGTGCTGAACTGATATCTCGCCTTCAGTCACTGTTCCACTGCTATGATATGGCTACCCTCTGGCTTTCCATAAATATTTTCATGGCACTTCTAATGAGCTCTCCTCCTTGGTACCTTGAATAGATGAATACCTTGACCATACTACTTAATTGGAAACTAAGCTTCATTGTTTTACTGTTAAAATACCTAGATCTAACCATAAGTTTTATTCTAACAATTTTTTTCTTACACTTCTCATCTATGGAACTCTCTTCCAGTTTTTTTTTTTTTTTGCTTCACTGCCACGTACAATTTTCAAAAATTTAAATGCAACATCAATCAGCATCTTCTGTCTTTCTGAACCTGTTCTTTTATTTTCCTTTCACCTCACTAAAGTTTTCTGGTTCTTTTCCACTTCCAGTAACTACCTTGTATCTTAGCAGCATTATCACCTTGCTTGGGTGAAATGAATAATATATATATATATATATATATATATATATATATATATAAAAAAAATTCATATATATATATATATATATATATATATATTGGCAGCATGTCATTATTGAGGCACCAGTTTTTTCTTGCTTTCTTGCAAATTTCAAGTTGTTGAAAAAATATACATATTTACAACCCAAATTTTTTTTACTGCAAAAGTTCTCAAAGCACAATATTTGTGTAAACTTATGATGGTCTGAGTAATGCTTGACAGTCTGTAGATTCAATTTGTAATTTCAGAGTCTGGGAAAGAAGGGGATTGTTATAAACACAAGAAAAAAATAGAATTTAGTTCTTACTGTGAACTGTGTCACCGTTGTTTTGGGCAGTCTCTTTGTAGTTTGTCAGTGTTGTAGCTTTTTGTATGTGGATGTGAATGGAGTCTTGACGTCTGTGTGTCTTATGACAAAACTTTTCATGCTGCTCCTCAATTGTTACATATATATATATATATATATATATATATATATATATATATGGAATATTATATAAATACAGATTACTCCAAGTGTTATTTTAGTGGATACCTGTTTGAGTAAACAACCCGTTTTTTAAACAGTGTGAATTATGTCTCCATTATTACATTTGTTCTGGCATGCTTTAGACTCTCTGTGGCCAAGTGGTCAAAAGCATCCCAGAACAGATAGAAGTTTCCCCTGCAAAGGAGGACACAATTTCAAAGCCTGTAGGTGAGCACATTTCTTTTTATAAACTCTCTTACATTTGCAGGCTGGTAGACCTAATTTACACTTTTTAAAAAACAGGGTGTCTACTCAAACATGGTTACCCACTAAAATAACGTTTGTAGTAATAATATAATAATATATAAATATATACATATTCCTATATTCAAAATGTCTATATCTATAAACATTATCTTTAATACTGAGCATTGTTCCCTTATGAATAGACCAAACATTAAACTATATATATATATATATATATATATATATATATATATATATACTGATAGATAGAGTGAGCAAGAAATGTTGTTTTCAAAATATATCAAAAACAGAAATCGTTGTCTTTAACTGGAGCTTATAAAGATCCATTATTTTTCTCTCTCCCTCTCTCTCTGTAGGGAAATAAATTGAAGATAGATGTGAATAGACTGAGATAATAGATAGATAGATAGATAGATAGATAGATAGATATGATCATAGATATAAACAAGCAAATTTAAAACCCCTTGTAACACACAAACATATAAGCAAATAAAGCTATTGACAGTTCATTTTGACTTTTATATTACTGTACTGTCTTATATACATCGCATAAAGAGCATTTAGTTTTACTATGTGGTGTATGTAAATGCAGTTTTCCACAGAATGGTGCACACCTACACAGGTAAGAAAAAGCAGATAATTGGACCTGCAATTTCTTTTTCTGCCCCCAAATTTGTGCCACTCAGAAAGCAACTTGCAACCAAAATGTCTTTTACCAGTTCCAGATTCATCCGCCTGTTCACTGTTTCTTTCTGTCTTTCTGTTTCTGTGTCAGATATTACAGAGCCAAAGTGCAGCGCACCTATGCTGCCCTTCCTTCCTGTTCTCACTTTCCTTCTGATCATGTTTATTCTCTTCTCTTTCCATTGTTATTTCCCTTTGCTCGATTTTCTTTTTTCTTTCCTCACGTCTTAAATTATGCTTTAAGGCTTCTCCCAATCTTTTACTTCCCAACTCTGAATTTTCTTTCTTTCTTCACATTCTTCTTTCTCTCTGTCCTCTCTTCTTCTACGTTTTCTTTTGTTTTTTTTTCTTTGTATAACTTTCTTTTCTTTCACCTCCTGATTTTTCTTTACTCCTTGGTACCAATTTTTTTTTTTTTATTCCTTGGTACCAATTTTTTTTTTCTGCATTCTTCTTATTCAATCTTTTTCTATTCATTTATTTGTTTCTTACTTTCTTCCTCTGTGCTACTTTGTAATTTTCCTTCTTTCTTTTCTCTTTATTTCATTCTAGGATGTTCATTTTCTCATCTTTTCTTTTGTTCTTTATTCTTTCCTTTTCCACATTTTTCTCATCTTTTTCCGTTCATTTATTTGTTTGTTATTTTCTTCCTCTGAACGACTTTAAAATTTTCTTTTTCTTGTTTTCTTTCTTTCTATTTAGAATTCTCATTCTTACATCTTTTTTTTTTTCTCTTAGCTTTTCTTTCACACCTTATCCTCTCCTCCTTTTCATTTGTTTATTACTTCCTTCTTCTGACCTACTTGATGATTTTCTGTCTTTCTTTAGGACTTCCCACCTGTTTTTTTTTCTTTTGCACCTTACTCTTCTTTTTCCACACTCTTCTTACCTAATCTGTTTATATACATTTCCTCATTCATTACTTCCTTCCTCTGAGTTTCTTTCTTTCTTTCTTTGCTCTGATTCTTACATCTTCTTTCTCTCTTTCTTTGACCTTCATTATTTTGTTTGATATTTTATTCCTCATTTGTTCTTTCTTTCTCTCAGCTTTATTATGGCTTTCACTTGACCTAATAACAACTTGCTAATAGCCTGAGGATCATTAAAATAAATTAAATTCTTCTAAAATTTTAATTTTCTTTAAGCAAAATTATTTTCCCTAAAGCCTTCAATTTGAGCCCCAAAATTAGTTAGGAACATTTTTTTTTCCCTCTTCGTCTTTTCCCTTCCAGGTCAGCAATCCTTAATATCAAAAATGAAAGAAACATGAAATGCTTTACTTTTTAATATGAAATAGGAACATACATTCAAATATGATCATCTATAATTATGACAAACATACAGAGACACGTATAATTTCATAAAGCTGGATCAATAAGATCCATAACTCAACTCAGTAGCAGAATTTTGATTGGAAATTTTCTCTGTGAACTATTCATGTTACAGAAAGAGGAATCAACAAAGTTCAAATTCCAGACTAGTCTGTTGTGTTCACCTTTTTACTTATGCCTTTGAGAAAATAATGGACCCATCTCTTCTCCCTCAGCTATGGCAGGGTAAACAGGGCTTTCTAGACTTGGTTGGCAGCCAGTTTAGAAGATGAACTATTTTGAATTCTAAACCATGGAGAAGGCAATGGGACACCACAAACTTTTCCAAGGAATCATTGCAATTTGCAGATCAAACCATTCTCATTCTAGATAATTTACATAAATCAGTCCAAGTTAGATTATCTACCAACTCCAGCAATAAGGAAATATTTGATAATAATAAAATAAAATATATAAAAGCTTTAGAACTAAGCAATCATAAAGTAAATTTAAAGTATATAGAAAAAAACAAAAATAAACAGAAACACTGTAGGCATAACATTATATGGTTTAATCCACATTTTAATTGTAATGTTCAAACAAATATCAAAAAAATGATAATTAATAATCACTTTAATCATTCACCAACTCTAAAAAAGATTTTTAACAAAAATAATGTTAAGATATGCTATAGCTGCATTAGTAACATTGATAAATCTCAACATAATATTAAACAGATACATGTCCAACAAAGTTAAATTAAAAAAAATAAATGCATCTGCTGAAAAAATATGAACAGTCCTTTAAATGGCCAATGTATGACTGATAATGTTGTATACTGAGCTAATATATATTCTGGTAACAATGTTAAATTTTATTTTGGTTCCACTGAAAATCCTTGAAAATTTTGTTTTATGATTTTAGGCAATAGAAGGCACATAAACAGCACTGCCCCCTTTAAATATTTCTGGCAATTAAAGAATGGTGGAAATACACCCATTCTTACATGGGAGATTGTAGCTAAAGCCAATTCTTACAATGGGTAAGGAAATAAATGTAATTTATAACATGTTGAAAAATTAGTTATCCTAAAACACTTAAGTAACTCTAGTTTATTAAACAAGAGAAATGAATTGATGGTTACATGCTGGTATAAAAATACCTGCTGAAATACATTGTTCCAGATTAATTTTTAATGTAAATTGTTTTTTTTTTAAAAAAAAAAAAAAAAAAACTAGTAATCTCCCTTTATGCTTAATATAAAAATTAACATTCACAACTCTAAAGTAATTTTTACACACACATAAATTCCATTTATTTTAAATGCCAAATATATTTTTTAAAATAAAAAAAATGTAATCCCCATATATGACTGCACCAACATTGTGTTAACTAGATATTTTCATTAAAATTTAAATTATGCAATAGTCAGTCTATACCCAACACCTGAAGATTGCACTGTGCATGAAACTCTGAGTCATGCTACCGGTGAGGGATAATATGTATATTTAATAATATATACTTAATAGTTTTATTACATTCAGCACTGTTTTATTAACACCAGCACTATATGTCATAGGCTATTAGCAGAAGTAAGTAGTATTTGCAATTAAAGAATTCTATATCAAGTGATAAAGCAATATTCAACTTATCTGTTCTTAATCAGAGATTTTCAGAAATGCATCCATTTGTTAAGAGGCTTGATATTAGAATTGAATTTATTTACTGTAGTGTAGTGTTGCAGAAAGTAGTAGGCACTCAACTGCCTCATGGGTAATAGCTGTAGCTGTTTTTGATCTTCCAGAATTTGGCATTGTCCTATAACTTAGCAACAATCTAGGAAGAAATGTTTCTATCTTATCTTTCTGTTGTACACATATTTTCAATCTTTTTTTTTTATAGTTGACAGAAAGGATGGTGCAAATCGATTTGATCGTGGATAGTATGGAGGGGTTTTATATGTTTTGCATCCAATTTTGTTCAACCACTGGCATAGTTACTTATCTCAGAACTTTGGGGCATTGTCAGATACTAGCACTTTTGTAATTCCATTTCTTGAAAATATGAACCTTAATGCTTGTTTCACAGTTAAACTTTTTTGTTGGAGACCTATATTATTTGTGGCCAGCCTGAATATGAATCTACCAGTATTAGTAATAATCTCACTCTATTAATATGGGTATGACCAATGTGTACTCTGTCACAAGGTTGGGAATCTTTAGGCCATATATGTCTCTTTGTCTAAATTTTCTTCTGACATTGCACATTTTACACCTTTTTATTTATTCTTACACATCTGTAGAATAGCCTGGCCACCATGCCTCTAGCCTTAATCTCCTTTGCAAAGATGAACAATGAACATTGTCATGTATACTTTTTATAATTTTGCTCCTTTGTGTTGCTGGCAGGACCACTACATCTCTATTACAAATTACACACTTTTCTACAGTTAACTTGTATTTAACCTCTTTAAAACGTCTTTCTGCCCATGAGCAATTATTCCACTTATTATTTTTTTATCCTGAACAATATACTGTTCAATATGGGATCTTGCTTCATATCCTCAGCTAATTTGTCTATCAACAAAATATCAGTTTCAACTCAGTGTAAGAAAGTATCTTCAAAGTTTTCTTTCTCTTTCTCACTTTCAGAAGTAATAAACCTAAATTTTGACAAAGTGTCTACTTGTGGAATGGTGTTGCTTTTCATGTACTCAATATCAAAGTCAAATGCCATTAACATTAAAGCCCATCTTAAAATTCTAGAAGACATTACTTTAGGGAGTTTTTTCTTAGGATTAAATATGAATTCTAAATGTCTATGATCAGACCTTACTAGGAATTTCGATCCAATCAGAAACTGATGAGATCTATTTGCCATCCATATTATGGCCAACGCTTCTTTCTCAATATTTAAGTAGTTCAATTCAGCTTTCTCAAAAAAGACATAATAGGATGACTATACTGAGAGACAATATCCCCAAAATTGAGTGTTCATTTGCATCAGTTGTTATCACTATTTCCTTTCTAGGGTCGAATATTTTTTACTACTGGCTTTTAAATTTTCAAATGCTACTTGTTATCCTTTTGTGCAAATAAATTGCATGTTCTTTTTTCTTAAAGCAGTAAAAGGTTCTGTCAAATGAGAGTATCACACTACATATCATCTACAGAAATTTACAAGTCCTAAGAAAAATTCCAATTCTTTTTTGTTCATTAACAATTGGTTTGGTGGTATGCCCTCTTTTGATATAGAATATCCCAAAAATGATATTTTTTAGTGTTGTGCACACATTTTTTTCATTAATTGTTAATCCAGCATTTTTAACTTATTCAAAACTATACTGGTTTTCCATTTCAACTCTTCATTGCTAATAGCATCAACACGAATGTCATCCTGGTACCATGCATTTTTTATATTGCTGCCAATAACTTGCTCTATAGCCCTTTGAAAAATCACACATGTGGTTTTAATTCCATACAGCATTCTTTTCCATTTTAGTAAGCCTATTGGCATGTTTATTCTTTAAAGTCTTCATCAATAGGTATTTGATGGTATGCCAAAATTAGATCAATTTTGGAGAATGTTTTCATATCTGCAAGGGAGTTCAAAACCCATTCTACATTGGGAATAGGAATCTGCACATATTTTGTGGTTTACACCTATTTTGTAGTCAACACATATGCACAGATTCCTATCCTTCTTTCTCAAAAATACTAACAGGATTCTCATTTGCTCCCTCCTGGTTGAACTGGTTCCAGTAATTTTTTTAGTTTTTCTACAACTATTCATAGTAGCTGGACTGGTATTTTTTTTGTGCTTCAAAATATGAGGAAGAGCCATTTTTCTTTAGTCTTAAATTTGCTTCTTAGTTTTATAACATCACAGTTTCTTCTGCCTTGACTTTATTCACTAATTTTGTTGAATTTATGTCCAATACCTCATTTCCTATTAGACTGTTATTACTTTCACAGTTTGCAATGATAATTGGTAATACATCAAATTTATTTAGTTCCACATAGGCTTCAAAATAGCATAGCGTTTTTATCACAGATCCAACAAACTGATTCAATTGGACATGGAGTTTCTTTAATCTTGGTTTTTCTAATTTCTTCCAGGAATTTCTGGGTATCAACCTCACATCACTTCCTGTATCTAGATGTATGTCCAATAAAACAGTACTGATTCAAGTTTTTAATAACACTTTCCCAAGAAAAAGACGTCCATACTTATTGCCTCTTCATTTTGTTGGATTGTCTCTACTTTTTCTTTTTAGATTTAGACGTACATCTAAAATGATTCATTTTGAAAAACTTTTCACATTTTTTTTATATACCGGACATTTCTTATATTTTATTTGATGTTGATATCCACAATAAGTACACAATATTTGATCATTTTTTTCTTTATCGCATATGTGTCCATTTCCTCTACCAGATCCGTAACTTTTATTCTATTTTCTAATTAACTCTTGTTGCTGAAAAAATTCAACACACTGTTTTAGTGACAACTTTTCCAGTTGTAAATTCATTAGAATCAGTTGCCGATACTCCTCATTATGAAGGCTATTTACCAATTTCATTTGGATCAAATCATCTTCAATTAACTGGTTTTCCGCTCCCAGTTTCTCAAATAACCTGTTTTAAATGAAGAACATAGTCAATAACTGGTCCATTCACTTTTGAGAAATATTCATGAACTT